AGAAAGAAAGAAAGAAAGAAAGAAAGAAAGAAAGAAAGAAAGAAAGATGTCCAGAGACATAGGGATAGCACTTGTAGAGGAATTTAGGAGTGAATATTGCTGGCCTGGGGGCCCTTTCTCAAATTGGAGATTCCAGGAAGAAATGACCAATCAGAGGAAGTAGCCTCAGGGGCAGGAAGAAGGTGGAGGGACTTTCTAGGATGAGAAGACTGCTAGAGCATGGTGGTTAAGGAAGCTTTCAGGGTAAGCATCTGCTGCAGCATGGTGGAGAAAGAAGTCCAGAAAGGCAAGAGCAGGGCACAAAGACGAAGGAAGACCTTGACTTGACTCGATGTAACTTCCCTTCTGGCAATCTCGTTCACTCCCATAACTTCTCACATTAGTTCTATTCAGATGATTCCCAATTCTGTATCTCCAGCCCCGAATTCTCTCCTGAGCTCTAGAGCCTTAGTTTCAATCCAATTCTATCTCAGTAACACTTCAAGCTCAGTTTTAGATAAACTGTAATCTTTCCCCAAACCAGACTCACCCAGTAGTGCTGACTTCAATATTTTTGTCCTTAACCTGGTATGAAAGGCTCTCCACAGCCTTGCTCTACCTACCTTTCCAGCCTTATATCATGTTCTTCTCTTCCATGACCTCTACACTCAAGCCAAATGAGATTACTCATGGCCCTCATATAGGTCTAAGACTTCCCTGCTCTATGCCTTTGCTCATGCCATTTTTTTACCTGGTATGCCCTCTCCACCTTCATCTCTGCTTTATGAAACTCTCCTCATCTTTCAAGACCCAATTAAAATGCTACTTCTTTCAAAAAGGTTTCCATGATGCCCCTAGTCAGAAATGTTCTCTCTCTTTGCTCTTTTCTCTTCTGACACTTTGCCCTTGGCTTGGCTTAGTATCATGGTTTGTCCCATACTAGGGTTATTGGATAGCCCTGCTTATCTATGTGGAGGGTCTCATCCTCCAATCTCTTCCTCTCTTCCTCTATATCCTAAGTTTCATGAGGGCAGGGACTATGTATTATTCTTCTGGTCCCTGGATGCTTCACACAGAGCATGTAGCTCAATACACATTTATTAAGATTCTGCTGTTGCAAGGTCCTATGCTAGGCAAAAGATAAAAAAAATACACTGAACACAGACTTTGCTCTCAAGGTACTTACACTTGAATGTGAGGGGTCAGGGAATGAGCCAAGGATAGAGGAAAAGGCATTATTGAAAGACTGGACCATAGAGTCAAGATGATGTAAGGCAAGAACAGGGCTAATATTATGAGATAATAAGGAGAAATCAAGGAACAAAAATTATTGAAAGGGGAAAAATAATAAATATGGAAAGAATAACAGAGCAGAACTGGAAGGGTAGAAGATTGCAATAAGAAAGGAGAATTTCATGGCCCTATATATTGGAGTTTCAAGGAATGGTGAGGTCTAAAGAGTAGGGCAGCTAGGTGGCACAGTGGCTTAGAGGCTGGAGTGAGGAAGACTCCTCTCTGTGAGTTCAAATCTGGCCTCCACGCTTACTAGCTATGTGACTCTGGGCAAGTCATTTAACCTTGTTTGCCTCAGTTTTCTCATCTGTAAAATGAGCTGGAGAAGGAAATGGCAAACCACTCCAGTATCTCTGCCAAGAAAACTCCACATGGGGTCATGAAGAGTTGGACGCAATGGAAAATGACTCAACAACAAAAAAAGAGTAACTACCCTAGTAGGTGGCTGAAATAGAATAGATAAATAGGAGCTGAGGAAGACAAGATGTCAGAAGGGTCATTGGGACATACCCTGAAGTCTCTAGGATGATAATAAGAAGAAAAGATGTGGAAAGGAAAAGTGAACCAGCTGCCAAAATCATGGGAAAAGATGGAAAAGAGTCCAAGAGATTCGTTGATGGCACAGACTAGGCTTGGGGGAAGGTGGAATGGTTGAATGAAATGAAATTTAAAAGAGAAAAGGCTATTAAATGATGTTGGCAGAGCAAAGACTTGGACGTAGAATGACTGCAGAGTGACACGGTGACGGTGGCTATGCTAATTCTCTCCCCAGGCCTTGCCAGGACGGGGGAGAGTGTGCAGCCAACAACGGAGAAGGCTGCCACAGATGTGGAGCCCTCAGGAGAGAGCCCTATTTTAATAAGTGTGAGCCGGCAGAAGGAATGCAGCAGGGAACAGCTCGAGGATGACGAGGAGTTTATCAACCGCGGAAGAGTTTCCCAACGGCACAGTGGAGGACAGGAAAGAGTAGAGACTCAGGTGGGTGGGGAGTAGGGAGTAGAAGGGATAGAGTTAACAGGAGGGAGAATACAGGGAGAGGTAGCAAGGGGACAGGGCTTGTGCCTAGTGCAGTTCATCTGAATAACTGGGATTAGGAGAACGGGACAATTTGGAGCAACCTTGCAGATATCACTAAACGCCTGCCTACCAGGGAAGCCATCCCTAGTGTACTTTCTAATAGCATCACCTGACACTTGAGCCAATACTTTTTAAACAATCTGTTTATTACAAGTAAAGATTTGAAAACCACAAAAAATATCCTCTTTCTTATAGCATTTTACTCCAAAGAAACTCTTGATTTGCTTTCCTGGATTTTCTTTCAAGAGGTGAATGTGATTTTAAGGTTTTCTAAAGCGTTCTAAAGACTTTAGTTACTTTTCACAGCAGCAGGACAACACACACACACACACACACACACACACACACAAATTGTTTCTATTTACGGATTAGTTGCTTTGTGGAGTGCAGACATAGCTTGCTTAATATTATCAATTGGGTTTATGAAAACGGAATGTGAGGGGGAAAATTACATTCCCAGTGGCAGTTAGAAAAAGGAAGTCAGCTGGAAACACTCAAGTGACCAGTCAAACAACATTACATTGGGGTTTGTTTATAAAAACAGTAGCTTCTTGAGACTTTTCTCATAAGACTCATCAGGGAGAGTTGAGTGTCATTATCCCAGAAAAGTTGTGACTTGCCCAAAGTCACCCACCTAGTAAGTGACCAATTTGAAGAAGAAAACCAGTTTTCCTGACTCCAAGATGGAACTCACTGCTACATAGCACTCCACCTCTCCAAAATGTCCAATTAAGATAATAATGTTTCAATTATTGTAATTACTGTAAAACAGCCTGGTCGGGGCAATAGTACGTGGTATACACTTTCATTGTAGTGTTCATCAAGAGGTGAAAGTTATTAGAAATAATCAGTTCATAAAAATCCATTCTCTACCCAAATTATACTGAAAGGTGGTCGGTCCCCTCTTGTTCCAATCTGAAACTATCGTGTGAACAGAATTTCAAATGTTTTTGATACGTACAATATGATCAGAATAGAAATGAAAATGCAGTCATTTTATTTCATTAAAAATGTACTTACATTACTAGAGGGCCTCAAGCTTGCACTTTTCTTCTTCACTGTCCCATTTGTTAATGTACTCGTGTTATTTTTTTTCTTGCTGACCTGCAAAATACAAAAAAGAAACTGTAGTCCAAGAAGGAAAACACTGGAAAGTGCTTCTTTCCCACTGGTTATCAAAGAATTACTGAATTTCCGACTTCGACGGGGACTTATCAGTCAATCTGTATTGAATCATATGAACTAATCAGTTCAGTGTATACCTCAAAAAAGACCCTTGCTACAATACACTCAAATGGTCATCTTGGCTTTACAGGCAAAGGTTGGTGATGGCGCTTTTTACTTTACATGATACCTCAAACAATTTACATGTCCATTCAGAAACCCCTGAATTGTTAGGTGAATTGTGAAAAACAACACATCCCTCAAAAATAATGTTTTCTAATTTGATGTGGAAATACCTCTAGCCTCCCTCAAATGGTTTCTTCCTGCAGTCATGGGGGGGGAGTACACTTGATTATGCACCTTTTTTAAGAATAGCACAAATTCCATTTTAAAATTAGTCCTAAAATTAATTTAAAACTGACTGTGAAGAAGTAAATCTCAACAATTGTTTCTCACTTGAAGAGATGATCAATTCACCGGTTGTGTCACTATAGGTTCTCTCATCTTCACACGTTTCTCATAAACGAGGAGTGGCTTCTGCTAGTGATGTTTGCTAGGTTTTAATTCTGTTGTTTAGAAAACTCTGGGGGACAGCTGGGGGAGTTCTCACAAGAGGCATTTGAGACCCTTCCTAAAAAAAAATCTCTTATTGGAATTAACTCTTTTATTTGGAATCTCTTTGGAGTCTCACTTGCCAGCCTTAAACATTGCATCAGAAAACTATTATCCTCATCAACAACCCTCACTTCTATGTGAAGGGGTGCTGGGAGGAGGGGAAAGGGGGGGAGTCTGTGATCATAAAGTACTTTTACTTACCTTCATTTGATCCTCCTGGGATTCCTGGAAGGGAAATAGTACAAATATTACATATGAAGAAACTGAGACTCTGATAATGCCCCCCAGGTCACATAAGTGACAGTAGTAGTTCGTTCTGAGTCATAGCTTTATTTTCTAAGGGTAGTGCATTGTTTTTTCCTCTGAAAGCAATTTTCCTGTAAAGATACCAACTTGGACCCTCGTCTATATGAATACAACCAACCCTAAATTATTTAGGGCCTGATTTTCCAGGCTGTGAATGATCCAGGCCCCAGGTTCCTCTTTATTCTTCTTCCTCTGTGCTTTCTGGCTTGAGAGATTCCCCCCTTAATGAATGCTCGGCCTCATATTATTTCATTTTTTCATAAAGGAGATGGTAGAGGAGTTCAGATTAAAGCCTGCAAGTCTGTAATCCTAGGCAAGGTAGGCAGTTGCCTGATGTACAACATGGGGGTGCAACTAGAGACCATTTTAATAATTTTTAAAATAAATGCACATATTTTAAGGCTAAAAAACCAACTTGGCTTTAGTATAGCTATTTATTTTGAAAAGTAGCATGGCATGATGGAAAAGCACTGGATGAAGTCAGAGGATGCGTGGGCTTGAATCCCAGTTCTGCTACTATCTGTGTGTGGGATCTAGTCTATCTGGGCCTCAGTTTCCCCATATGTAAAATAAGAGGGCTAGATTATATGATCTCTAGGGTCCTTTCCAGTGCTCAATCCTATTATTTGCATGAGGCATCAAACAGGGCAAAGGGAACATATGTCCATAGGTTTTCACCAAAAGACTTTGTCAGTATCATTGACATCATGCACCAAGTACAACTGGAAAAGTGATTCCTTGAGCCTCGAGAGGTTCTACAAATGTTTCTGTCTGTGGATGATACTACGCTCATTTCAACAAGCCCCAAGATGACAAGGCCTCCTCAATGAGATCTGTGAGGAAGCAACAACATAGATCTGCCAGACTCAGACATGCAATGGGGATGAAAAGTAGGCTAGTGGACCAAGGGTCAGCCTTGGAGCCAGAAAGACCTGTCTCCTACTACTGATACATACTAGATGTGTGACATTGGGCTTAACCTCTCAGTGCCCCCCCCCAGACAACTCTCTAAGACCCTAAGTTGCAGACGTGTATCAGTGGAGGGAAGTTCCACAGTTGGAGTCCCCCACTTCATTGAAATCACAGGCTCCCAGTGAAAAAAGAACATGCAGTTGAATGGGTGGCTTGCTGGGTTGGTTCACCAGAATGTATAACTCAGTCATTGTCAATGCTGCAGCCCAGAGATGACTCAAGCCCAGAACTGAACAGGAAGGATGGATTTGGGTGAGACTGCGCCAGGGGAACCCTGTGGCAATTTCAGTTACGTGACATTGGTCCTCATCATAACAGTCCACCATTTTGACATGATATTCTTTTGTTAATGCTATGTGGCTCTAAGTCATGGAGCACTATGATCCTAGAAGAAGAAAAAAATTCCAAGGGCTACTCTCCAAGTGGCAATTGGAGAGACTTGTGGCAAATGAGGAGGTGGCAGTGTATTTCCAACAATTACTTGCATGCAAGATGTGACCTAGAAGACATTATTAGGAACTAGTTTGACCAGAAAAGGAAGTGAGCTGGTCACACTGCAAGGATAAGGGATGGACAGGGGTGGATAGCTCATGAGTTGCAATGGTATCCACAAGAATATATTGTTACAGAACAACCAGAAGAAAATCTGTAATTCATTGGATGATCCTCTATGGTGAATTATGGCAAGACATGTAGAGTAATTGCACAGGATTAGAGGAAATGAATGTGAAAGGTGTATCCAGGCTGATGAAACCACCAATCCCTTAAAGTATTGAAGAAGTCACCTTTCATGTGTAACAATGAAGGCTCAGCCTGTCTGGTGGACAGTAATCTCCCAGGGGTGCAATTTTTCAACATCACACAAACACCTGTTCCTACCCTGCTATATTTACTAAGGCCTTCAGAATGGTGAAATGCCAGGCCAATGGAGAGACAAAGCAGGAAGTTCTCATGAGATAATGGAAGAAATATGGCAGACAAGCTTCAACATGAAAAAGTATGAGGTATTAAGGAGAAATAAACCAAGCCATAGTTGTAGAATCATACCAAGAGTAGCAATCCAAGAAATGGATTATGGTATCAGGGAAGACTTAAGCCCAGTATTTTGTCACTAGAAAGGCCAACAAAATGCTGAAGATCATCAGAAAAAACCTTGGAAATTAAACATAGCATTATCTTTTCCTTGTATACTTTCATTCATTCAATAAACGTATACATGACAAGCACTATGATGGGAAATAGGAGAAGCAAACATAAATGAGAAACAGTTCCTTCTCTCAATGGGTTGACAGTCTAGTTGGGGAGAGAAGACAAGGCAATAGATAACTAGAATACAAATTATGATAAAATAAGTACACAAAAGGGGTGCAAGAATGGAGGCAACTGAGTAAATCAATCAAATCACCCCTTCCCACTTAAAGTAAGTGATAAGAGGCTATACCCTGATAGTTCTGTCAGGTGAGAACTCATCCTGATTTTTCATGAAGTGTGCCTAGGAACAACAGGAAGTCTGTTCCCAATGACCAAGGACTTGCCACGCCCTCTTTAGCCTGTAGAAAACCATCAGGCTAGTTGGCATTGGAGATTTGAGGGCCTGGCAGGGGAGAGGAGAGAACGTCTCAGCTAAACCTCTGAGAAGCAGCCAACTGGGATGGGGAGGAAAACAGATCCTCCCTCCCCCTGCCACCTCAGCTGAAGAAGCTGCTTGAGCACTGAAGTGTCCAGAGCATTTGAGCTTTTTCCTCAGCATCCCCAGAATGGCTGACAGCAGTGTCTGCAATGGGAGCCAATAACAAATAGGCCACACAGCACACCTAGGGAGCAACACCTTGAAGACTCCATTAGTTATGTCTTTGGCACACATGATCTCTAAGCTTAAGTCTTAGCTTCCTCTAGACTCTGTATGTACCCACAGAAGGGTATGGCACAGGCATTTGGTACCACATGTACCAATTATACCACCTCAGTAAATACTCCTTTTGGAAAACTAACTGAGTCTGGCTGACTAATTTATATCAACCACTAATCATGAGGAAACACACCAGAAGTGTGCTCATGAGTTATAATATTAGAAAGATACCCCTAAACCCTTCTGGGCTACTCTCAAGCCCCAGTAGACACCTTCTGGGGACCCAATCTGTCCGTGTAAGTGGAGGTAGGGATAAGGACCTCCAGAGTCTACATGTGTAACAGAAGCATAAAATGTCATGAGATTAGATAAGAGATTACTTCCAGCCAAGGTGATCAAAGAAACCTCCACAGTAGGGGGAATTTGAACTGGACATTAAAGTATGTTGATATTTAGAGCTGGGCACTGAGAGGCAGAAGACATTTTAGTTGTAGAAAGCAGTGAAGTCCTGGCAGTAAGGGTCTATAGGTTGTGCTTGGAGGACGGTAGATTGTCCAATTTATTGGAGGGTAGAGTATGTGCAGGGGGGTTGTGGGTGAGAAGGCTGGAGAGAAAAGCCTAGAGTTAGGTTATGGAGGCCCATGGATGCCAGATTAAGGAGTCAAGGTGGGGCTACTGAAGGGTTTTGAACAGGGGAGACACATCATAGGATCCAAAGATCATAGATTCATATTTAGAGCTGAAATGAAATTTGATGGGAGCCATCACATTGAACCCCTTCTTTTTATAGATGAAGAAAAGCATTCATAGAGAGGTTGTCATTTTCTCAGGGTCACACAACTAGTAAGTGTCTAAGGTGAGCCATTAACCCAGATCTTCCTGATTCTGTGTCCTCTCCACTACACAATACTATCCGTCGATAAGCACTTGTTAAGTATCTATCATACTTAGAACGCATGAGGCTAAGAGCTGAGGATAGCTTCTGCTCTCCCAGAGCTCACACGGAGTGAGTCATTATACATATAACATATACTAGACCAATAAGTACCATACCAGATAGAATGTAAGAAGTGCAAAGGAGGGATCCAGACTCAGCACAACTTAAAAAAAAATTGAAGAGGAGGAAGTAATTTCAACTGTGGCTGGGGTGGGAGCATCAGGAAAGGCCTCATGGAGAAGGTGACACCTGTATTGGGCCTTTCAGAGAAATATTTCAGAAGACAGAGATGAAGAGAGAGTGTGCCCCAGGCACAGGGCAGGCTGTGCCAGGACCCAGCAGCAAAAGCGGAAGGTAGAATAGGAAAAGTCCTGGCTCTGGAGTCAGAAGATTTAATTTCAAACGGTACCCATGACACGATGTGTGCAACTCGGACAAGTCACCTCACCCCGCTCTGGCTCAGGTCCCTCATCTGTAAAATGGGGGCATAATAAATGGTCATTGAGGTTCATTCTGACTCAACACTGACAATCCTAAGAGATCTGTGATTATGCCTGTGTATGAGAAAGACAAATGTGTCAGCGTCTGAAGTCTAGATTTGATCAGGTCACGATGCCACCACATCTAGTGTTCAGTGAACACTTGGGGTTGATTGTGGAACCAGAGTGCAGTAATAATTTACATGTTTAGAATGATTTGAGGTTTACAAAGTACTTTGCTTTGCAAGAAGCCTTTGAGGTACATAGTGAAAGTGTCATTACCCCAATTTAAAGGTGAGGAAGGAAGGTTCTGGGAGGCTGCCTTTCCCTGTAGGAGCCAAGGGAGGAACCTGGGTCTGACTTCAAGTTCATTGCTCTTTTCCCTACACCTCCCTATTTGTCTATGTTGACAAAAAAGACATTGGGGGAAGGGGAGAAAGAGTGAAGCATTGTGGACGCTAGACTTTTTAGAGCTTTTTAGACTCCAACTCCATCATTTTACAGATCAGAAAATTGAGTCTCTGAGAGGTGAAGTCATTTGGCAAAATTTAGAAACACTAGCACTAAAGTAGATTCCCAGCCCCCTCCACCCACCTAATAACTTCCATTCCTTCTTTTAGAATACTGCCAGACAAAATCTTGGGCTGGATGGACCATTGTCTGACGGGTTATGGCACTACTG